AATTTTATTTCTTTTTTAGCATTTTTATTGTGTCATACACACTTTGAAAACATGGAATTTCTTAGTGGTGAAATTATCTACAACATTTAAGATTACACCTAGACATGTATGAAATATTCTGAGTTGTACAAGTTGTTTTTTTACTCTTCTCTCCTGGCCAGCTGCACCTGGTAACTCGTAGTCTCAGAAAAACAGTTCCTCTTTGTGTAGGTAAAAGGGAGGACCAAGGTCAGCCGCCTGCAAGGGAATAGATAAATAGTTAGGGGACCCCCTCTATGCGAACCGGATGAGATGGTCAACTTATCTGTAGCTTTGGAGGAATCCAGGTAAAGGACACTTCCCCCTCAGGGCTGTCCATTTGGTTCAGAGTACCCCTTTTTATGTTATGTGTCCTAATTTGGTAATGGGCATTTGAAACGTCTCCCACTTCCTGTGCGCCAAGGAACTGTATATGATTCTGTGATTGTCTCAGCCTCCCCAGAACACACCTAGAGTTTGCTATGATTTTATCTGTCGTTCTCCACTTGCAAGTCATAATTAAACATTTTTGTTCGTTGCACTTTTGCTGTCTCAGTCTCATCTCTGGAAAATCTGCATTTCTACAGTGGTTTACAAGTTTGAATGTCGGAAAAGAAATTAAAACAGTGAATGTACTCTACTAAATAAAGCTAAACTAACAACAAATCAAACTAACTCAATAAATTTGAAAAGCACACTTTATTTAATTAAATTTTAGTTGGTAACATATTATGGACATAAATATAAAGATGTAAAATAATTCTCCCAAAAAAATAAAAGGTTCATACATGGTTAAAAATGACAACACGTGTCATCATTTGGGTATCAAACTCACTAAAACTAATGTTAGTTACTTAGTTTAATAAATAACTTAATAACCATTAAATTTTTAATGGCTATTAACTTCTAGGTGTTAAAAGTTTTGCAAAAACACGTAAAATGTGGAATAAATGCAGGAAATTTGAGAATGAAATCAGTTTTTTTTTTGTTTTTTGTCCAGGATATAATTAACCTCACTAGCATCAGAAAGACAGTTCATATAAATAACTTAGAATTAATAATTAAAATCAGAAATATTAGTATTTCATTTCACAAATATCATTACTGTATCTGAACACTTTAAGGTTGAAAGAAACACTTTCAGCCAACCCTTTGTTGATGTGGTCAACACATCAGTGGATGCGGTACCTTCCTCGCTGGTGGTTGTTTCGCCTCGGACGCATTTGAGGGTTGCACCGTAACATCAGCTAGCATTCCAATGGCTAATTTGACTGTCTTAGCAGACAGTTTTTCTGAATAGTTACTGTCTCAGCGTCATATCTCAGGTACGTCTCCAGTTGTTCGATGTAAATACGCATGAATGATGTTCAAAGCGTCCCACTGAGTCATTTCTCCATTCGCTGTGGGTCAAATTCAGTGTTTTTATACATATTTTAGCGTAAATTTGAGAGGCGGCTCATCCTGAGTCCCTCATTTATTTTAAATTATGAATTAGCAGGCTGATAAATGTTTATTGTTTATTGAGTGTTTTTACTTATACTTCCGCTCTCCACAGCCCTAGTTCCGGGGTCCAGTCAGGCTTGGTTCCGTTTAAACATTAGAGATTTAATGAATCAACCGTATAACGCTGAGATATCAACATTCATATTGATGTGCTTCCCCGACTGAAGAGTCGTTGTCGCAAGCATCTAAGTCTGTACGCATGAATGTGAACTCACTGCTCATCAGGACTCAACATGGACAAAGAAGGCAGTGAGCGATCCGGCCTGGTGTCTGAGGACGGGAAGAACGTCAAATCTGTCCTGTGTCAGCGGTGCGGCTCCAAGGTCTTGTGTCCCGGGATGGCTGTGTTTGCTGAAAACGAGGTGCGTCTCCCGATGCAAACAATGGACTGGTGTAAAGATAAACCGGATGCGATACTGGGAGCTTTTCAGAAACCAGCAGTGGGGTGAAGGTGGACAAGTAGGGGGATAAGTGTGTGTGACGCCTTAAAAACATCTGCAGCAGGTTTACAGCGTCTAATTTCATAGAAACACATGTACAATTTCATATAATAGAAATTGACCTTTGACCTCCATCTACACATCCTGAAAGTAAACCGGATCCTGATAGGATTGGGTGAAAGTGCACATTTACCTTTGTAGTGCTTAGAATAATGCTGGACCCAAATAAAATACGCAAATACCTTTTGCCCCCTTCACTGTCTGAAGTTTAGATCAAACTTCTCTTCTCATATGTGTGAATTAACCTGATAGGTCTCCAATGTCATAGCATCATTATTTAAAGAGGCAGTCATTCTGTATGTGAACATTTGTTTTTAAAGACATGACAAAACAATTCTTGCATATTATTTTTCTCATTTGCGTTTAGCAAATATAAATAATTTTGTTTGTTCTAATTGAATTAAAACATTTCTTTTAATTGGTGCCTGACATTAGTAATAGGTCTGGAGAATTTAAAGTTATTTGGAACGGAAATGTTAAATGTCACTTCAGTGTGAGAGATCGACTGAGGTGTGGAGTTGGATCTTTGTAGAGAAGGATCCAGGTTTTTACCAGTGTTTCTGAAGCAAGAGCAATCCTTGTGCAACCCGTAACACGAAGAACCACACAAAGTGTTGTTCAGATTAGATGTAAATAAATAGTCCACAAACCTTGTTGTGCTCTTAAGCAATTTTTTTTCTTGTCAACTGTTTTCTCTCCTCATATCAGCTGTTCCTGCCCTCCATGCGGAAAAAGAGCAGCCTCAGCAGCACCGATGGCTCAGTCGACGGCGACACTCTAACGGCTCACTGGTTGGTGGACGACATGTTCAGTTTTGAGAACGTGGGCTTCACAAAAGACGTGGGAAAGATCAAGTATCTGATCTGTGCAGATTGTGAGATCGGACCAATCGGATGGCACTGTTTGGATGACAAGAAAAAATTTTACGTTGCTTTGGACAGAGTGAATCATGAATAATGCTGGTGCAGCCTAATGGACTTCAGGAAGGTTTTGGCCTGCTATGCATTCTTTTATGACCCTGAATCAATCCATCATTGACACGTGTAAAGAAACAACTATCTGTAAACAGTTTGTAATAAGAAGATTGTGCCACATTCATTCTTAACATTCTCATAAGACTCACTAATATTGTAATAAAAGTATTGAAAGTTGATTCTGATTTTCTGTCACGCACCTTATAATATCAAGAAGTTATAGTGTCTTCTGCTTCACAGTGAGTTACGTATTCAGGGTAACGTTTTTTTCTTCCAGATACCCTCCATGTCATTCAAAATGTTATTCTCTCATCTGACCATGCCATCTTCCTCTGGCCTTTAGCAGTCTGCTTTCTTGCAAATACACCCTTTCTTCCCTCTCTGACTTGTATGAAGGTTTTAAAACTGCTTATCTGTTTACAGATTCTTTTAATTGAATCTCCGCAGATCTGTGCAGCTCCTCCAAAGTTACCCGAACCTTTTCTAACTTCTTCTCTGATAAATGCTCTCCATTCTCTACTCGTAATTTCAAGTGGGTGTCTGTCTTTGCAGATTTACAGTTGCGCCATAATCAGATGATATATTTCAGAAAGGTGTTCAAATCCTGGAAAACTGTCGTATAATATAACCCCAGTTTAAACTTCTCAGCTTTCTCCATGACCCATCTGCTGTGTTTTCCTATTTGTTTTCTAATAACTTCTTATAAACATCTGAGGCCGTCATGAAACGATTAGAATCAAACTCAGATTAAATTAAACATCTGTAGATTGTTTTGATGAATCACAATGGGTGATTCCAGAAGGCAACTGTTTGCACTGGAAGTCAATTTGGGTATCTAGTAAAAAACCTAAATACAAATGAATGACAAACTTTTCTAATTTTTGTTTGTAAGAAAATCAAATTCAAACCGTATTTTTTCTTCTGCTTCAAAGTTATGCACCACTTTGTGTTGGATTAATGATGTAAAATCACAAAAATGACTGAGGCGGTCATTTAATAAATTGTGAATACTTTCAATAATGATGACTATTTGTCCAGCTTACTGTGTTGGGTCTACATTAGGTACACTTTCTCAAGAAAGACAAATCAAAAAAGGAAAATATCTACTAATTACTCTCTGATACATAAAGCTTTGCTTATTTTAGTTTAGTGATAGGTTCAGTTTACGTAAAATATATATTTTTTTGTTGATGTTATTTTTTAAAGTTTTTAAAATATATTAAATTATGGGCACTTTCCACTACCTGTTGCAGTACCTTTCTACTCTGCTCATGCTCTTCGTTTACATACCGTATCCTTCATTACATTAGAAGCATTTTCTTGGTGTCATTTTGGTTACATGAGAGAACCTCTTTGTATTTATGACGCTGCATTGATTAGACAGGCACTGCTAAAAACAGATGTTATCCTTGAAAGATGTATGACTCCTTTTTATGACAGACAGTTGAATAAAATCTGATTTATAGCATGCAACACATTTTAAGAAAGATCTTAAAGTATTAAGTGTTAAATCAGGCCAGTGGAAATTATGTGCACTACTCTTATGTTGCTATTTAAGAGTAGAGTTCAATCCAAACACGACATTCATCTGTTGTTCAGCTTAACCAACCTGGTTTATAGCGTGTAGCATATCTAACCCCAGCCTGTGCCATTTCAGGATGCTGTTCCACTCCACAACACTCGATGTCCCAATTTCACGGCTTGACAAGCTTCCTGACTACAGGATCATGTGGTCCATTGTTAGTTTTAATAGCTGGAGGTGCTGCACACATTAACTGACCTCTTAGCCTCAAAACAGTGGTTCACAATTTGTCGTGACAAACATCACTGATGTAGTAACGTTTCCAAGTATCAACAGAGCTCGAGACAAACTGCTGGAGTTTATTTGCACCAAAAATAAAGAGAAAAGTGAAGAACATAATCTAACGATCAGAAAACAACAACTATTATTACTGTGGTTAAAATAAATGCAATGAAACTGTTGTGTTTTTTGTGTCATTTATTTTTGTACTTATTGGAGGTGAGAGGTAACCTCTGCCCTGCTGCCAGAGGGTTGGTTGTCCAGTGTGTCTCTGTGTCGTCCTGCGATGGTCTGGTGATCTGTCCAGGGTGTTCCCTGCTTATTGCCAAAGTGACAGCTGGAGACGGGCATTGGTGACCCTGAAAGGATAAGCTGGTGTAGGTGATGAGAGGATATTTTGATTTTAATGCATAAACTTAGAAATGTAGACAAAACACTCGTAGCACTACGAAAAACACAAAGTGATCTTTTTAAAAAAGTAGTTTGGTTAGTGATTACGTTAAGGAAGAGGATGTTAAGTTCATGGTGAGGTGGATGATGGATCGACATGTTTGCGTCCCCTGTATTGGTTTACTGCGAGTTCAGCCCAAACGGAGAACGCGCTGGACTTTTTCTGGGAGACATGATCCTTCGCTGTGGCGCAGTGAATCCAGAGTCGTGTTCATCCGAGGTGCTTTCTGATAACAGTGCATTCTGGGAACGCTGGCTGGGACTGGTACTGACGTCAGAGCAGTTCAAGGTTGATGACAAAGAGCAGATGTGGGAGGTGTGTGTGCGTGTTTTCTGGAGTGTATCTGGGAAGGAAGTGTGATCATGGTTCCTTCTAGTTCGACTCTTGGATCTTCCCAGACGGCTTGCAGTGCTATCATGTTTGGTATGGGGCGAGCTGAAGGAAAGTGCTGCTTTGTACAGTTATTTCTGAGTCAATAAATGTTTCCCAGAACTTCCTCACATCGGCCTTTGAACGCAACTAAACCCCCTTTCACACAACATTTCTATTCTGTCTCTTCTGGAGTAGATGTTGAGCACACTGCTGTGAGTCTGTGATATCTATATTTTTGGAATAGTTTCTCTCTGAAAAGGAAACAAATGGCTTTCAAATCTATTTTTCCTAAGGGCTAGAGCTGGACATATTAACCTAAATACTAATAATATTGATATCAAGGTAAGTATTTGTATCAGACCAATACTTTTGTTCATAGTTTCTCTTCAATATGTCTTGGACATTACTAAATATTTCCAAACATGTAAATATTACAAAATCAGTTTAAATTGCTCACAAGTGCAGCTTTATTATTTATTCATGCATCGGATGTGAAATCGTTCTGAAACTCAAAGATATACACTCATGTAAAGATTTATACCTTACACCTAAACTATATGTCTGAATATTAACCATTAAAGAAAATGTAGCACTCCAACTTAATATGTATAGAGATGAGTTATTCTAATACACAATCGTGTATAGTAGAAGTTTTTAAGGGGATTATGTTATTTCTATGCAATTACATCATTTTCTGTTGCAGTTAATAAAATAAAAAAACATCATAAAATGTATAGACAACTAACTGGAGTCAGATGCCCAAATTATTTGTAAATAATTTTTGTGAAGTATCGATATTATTAATGATGCTAGCTCTGTATTTATTTAGTATTCGATTGATACCATAATTCCCAGCATCACACACCTCTGCTAATGCTTGTCTGATGTAAACATGGCAAAGACACTTGTAGAGTACATCTGAGAGACGGAAACTGATCATGCAAAGATGAACAACAGAGGAATTTTAAATGTAAGAGAATCAAAGTGAAATTAAAACAACTGTGCAAATGTTTTAACAGTACATAGCAGGAAATGATAGGAAAATGTGAATCTATTGTTATTTTTTAAACAATGGCATGTTTTAAAGCACTTTTGTGAGAAGGAGCTCTACACATGCACATATGCTCCATTGGTTTTTGCTATAACAGCCGAGGCCACCTGCAAATTATAGCTACTTTCTAAAACCCACTACCAGGAAGTTCAAGTGAAACGGAGAACAGGGACATTCAAATGAGCCTTTTCTGAAGTATAAGGCAAAAGCGACTCTGGACTGTTTTTAGCCCCAGTCTTATCAGATCAAGTTTCGGAAGATCTATTCAAAAAATGTGATTAGTCTTTCTCCTTTAAAGTTTATGGAGGTAAAAAGTCGCATTTTAAGTGAGGCTAAAAGACAGAAAAGTGGTGACTTGCTACAGCACATCAGGCCAGTTCCAAGGTCCTTAAAATAATTCAGAGAATAGATTTTAAAATATTATTGTTAGTTTATAAATCACACAACAGCTTAGCACCAAAATACATTAAAGATCTTTTATCGAGTCAAACTTCCACACCACTCAGATCTTCTGGTTCAAGTCGCTGCATCCCCAGAACCAAACATGGAAAAGCAGCATGCAGTTTTTATGCTCCTGTAATCAGAAAGATGTCATTTTAGTGCATAGTACACATTTTCTTCACATTACATAAAATCAGCATACTCTTGTGTTTATGTGCTATAAATATAAACGTGCCATACATCCAAGAAATGCTAAATCTAACAGAGTTAGTCCAAATCTGAAAATGATAGAATTTCGATGTGTTTTTGGTAGTTGTTGGCATCTTTGGGAACAAACGTTTACTATAAAAATATAAACAATTGGTCCCTGGACATATGACTGCTCCCTGCCAATGAATGGGCTTCTTTGGACCATTTAAAAACATAGTCCCGGTCAGCGCGGAGTGATCTGGTAGGTGTGTTCGAATAGCAAACAGAGAGTACAGTCTGATAAATCTATTCATTCAGCGCAACGGGGCGGCCTATGGAGCAGTCAGCTCATCTCGTCCGTTTATTTGTGAAGCTTCTGAATGTTGTGCCAGAAAAATGAACGAATCAAACACGGCCGTCGTTTTTTTGACATGAACACGGAACCGATGAGGAATTAAACCTAGTTATCAACGTGTTCGTAGTCTAAACAGTTTCCCCTACTGTTCTCGTTTTTAACTGTTTCAAAGTCAGACTGGGATTATCTCTGTGTAGTAACTCAGCCATTTATCCGTCTGTAATATAAACTGGTCGTATTTAAGATAAACTACAAAAATAGTCGATTCGAATAAAAGATAAAAGGCACAAACAGTCTGTTGAGCCGATAAAAAGCCGTGACGTGAGTTCTTTCGTGAGATACGTCCGTACTCTAGGGTGTCTACCTCTCGCAGCGGAAGCGGACTGCTCACCAGCTCGTGTCCAACTGGATAATACGTCTTTGAGTTCAATGAGTGGAGAGTGGACATGAATTGAAAGGCAGACGTCCAAAGCGAATACGACCGGTCCGAGTGAGTCGTTTCCCCGCACATTTTCATCCGGAGTCTTATCAACGATGCAACAATGACTCAGCCGCAGCAGAACGAGTTTATTCCGCCCCCGGAGTGCCCCGTCTTTGAGCCCAGCTGGGAGGAATTCGCCGACCCTTTCGCGTACATCAACAAAATACGACCAATCGCGGAGAAAACTGGCATCTGCAAAATCCGACCACCACCGGTGACTATCTTGCTTTTCTCTTTCATTTATTTCCGGACTGTTGCGAGTTTTGTTGCGTGCTTGCCCTGGCCGCGGCTGTTGTTGTGGAGGGGGGTAATTTTAGCAGACAAAGTTGTGTTTTTAGACGGCTTTCAACATGGCGGATTGCGGCTCCGTTGTAAGCTAGCCCGAGCTGGAGTTGCTGGCACCAACGGTCAGCAGCTTTTTTTTCCCCCCCAGACGGGAGGAAATCCGTGTCACCATCCAAATGAGCCCCTCCAAAAATAATAATAACAATGTAGACCTGCGTTTATTGACGCGCTCTGTGAAAAACGCGACATTATTTTTAAAAAAATAAACGATCATAGAGACGTTGAAGTTTGCCAGTGCGCAAACATAATGCAAATTGTTTACATTTGCGCAGAATCAAGTGCTTCCTGGAGTCGGAGGCCTCCCACCCCCCGCAGAAAGAAAAGAGGGTAAAAAAAAAAAAACAAAGTCTCAAAAAATTTGAACCGTTTATTTGACTATTAACGTACGTCAATGTAAAAGTGAAGTTTAGTGGGCTGGATTTGACAGATTTAGCCAGCGTGAGGCGTGAGTTGGGCCTGTTTGGAGCTGCAGTCAGTTGCCTGACTTTAACGTACGTGCACGGTGACCAACTGTTTATGGAGTGAAGAGTCTCTCAAATTGGACACTTAATGGACACTTTGTGTTGTCTTTGCGGCCTTTTTGTGTGGCGTTTCTTCACCCGACGTGCGATGATCGATGATGTTAAGCGTTTAGGGCACAAAGACTTAACCTTTTTTTTTTTTTTTTTTTTTTTTTTTTGTAATGCTCGCAAACTGACTTTTTTACGGATTATTCATGGGTTTTATACCGTATTCCACACCACTGACATTTCACAGCTGACAAACATTTCCAATAAAAAAAATATATATATACATGTATTAAAAGAATTGGTCAAATTTATTTATTTATTTATTTTTAAGATATAACAAATTGCAGAGACCTTCTTGAAGGGTGTGCCCACACACGAACTTGCACTAGATAAAAATGCAGATTCTGCCCAAACAAATTATCTCTGCATGACTGCTGCGTGTCTCTGGCTTGTATTCCCCTTTGTCATTATTATGGCCTGGATGAAAGGGGTTTTGTGGGGCCTGTGTATTTTTCACATAACGTGGCAGTGGTGTCCTGCAGAAATTTGGAAGCAGTAAAAGGCCCACTTTGCACGGTCTAACCAGACAGCCAGGGGTACAAGGAACTGAATTGTTATCAAAAGCCAGTGGGTGGGGTGACTGCTTTTCAGTGTTTGCTCATCCAATGGTAGAAAAAAAAAAACCACCCAGCTCATGTAAACAAAGGCCACCGAGAGAAGGTTTGAACAAAGATTGACTACTGATGGCGAGCTCGTCACCAGAAGAAGTGAATTAAGACAAACTAATGCAATTTAAAAAATGTTTTATTTGCACATGTGCACTTAGGTCTGTCACAGTACATTGTCTGTTTAAGAACTTGATGATCATGTTGCAAATAAACCAGCAACTAATCTCCAATTTCCACTGAAGTGTGTGTTTAACTCTTGGAAGTGTCTTCCAAGTATCTAGTTGCTTGTTTGAGCTTTTATTAAAGCTCAAACAACTTTATTTGTTTCTTAACAAATGTGCATGCCTCTAAATATAGTATTTTGTGTTTAGAGCTTTCCTGAGGCAACCTCTTTGTTCCATTTTATTTCCGTTTTTCTTCTTTTTTTTTCTCATCTCCTCTCTCTTCAAAACAAAAAAAGTATTTGAAGCGGAAGTAAACATTTCACCACAACCTGTTTCTGATCAGAGATTTCTGGGTGCAGAGTATGTGGTAAAAATTTCCTCCAGAGTTCTGTGCAGGTTAGAGATGTTTTTAAGTCTGCTTTAGTGCTACTTTGTAGAGGTATAGTCAACAGTGTTATTTGTTTATTTATTTTAAATGGCAGACTTTTAGGGACGAGGAGTTATCCTAGTGTCATCTTGGAAGAACAATATCACAACGAGAGTTGTTAAAAATTTCTCCAAAAACTGAAATTGAGAGCATTTTTTGAAACCGTTTCTAAAAATGCAGTTGAGTTGTTAGTGACTCAACTTCTGTGTGCTTTTGTTAGTCAATAACTCTAGACAGAAACAATTCCTGGTTTTTAATGAATATAGGCAAAACAGGAGTAGGAGTCGTGAAACTACATCCGTTAAGTGCAAAGAATAACTTTCCAAACATCGCTTTATTATTGACAAAGAAATTTGTACATAAATTAACTGGTTTCTTCAACAATAACAATGCGTTGTTTAGCTTTTAACGTACTACAGTAGCAGAACTTGAGACCATGACTTTAAATCATCGATATGTGATAGAAAAAGCATTGTGGTGACTGCAGCTTCCTTTTAGATTATATTTAAACTGTTAAAGGTCACTAAGGAACCCCATGGTACGCCTTCAATAGCTATCTTTGTCTGAAATCAAGACATTTCATCCTCTTTTGTTAGTTTTATTCATACTAATACAGTCCTTCCTGCAAAACATGAAATATCTCAATGTTTACTATAATCATGCTCTTAGTGAGAGCGGCCCAGTTTTCCTTCACACTCCAGGACAAATTTTCAACAGGCGTTTTACACTCATTTGCAAATCCTCTCCTTCGTACAAGGAAGTGTGCCATCCCACTTTTAACAACACACAACTGAAAGTCGTGGTCCGATTGTTGGACCACGACTCTGTTCTCAAGGCTTGTAGGAAATGTTTGGTGTGTGAAACTCTGTTTAAGAGTTTTAATAAGAATGACAATGTTTAGACTGGTTGCAGCGACCGATATGCTTCAACATCTGCCTCCCTGTGGCTCTTATCTGTCTTGGCTTACAGGTTCTCATTTGTCATGCAAAGTCATCAGTCATTTTAATAAAGCTGTTATTTTAATTAGCATTTCTGCTGCTTATTTGGTTATTAAAATCGCATGAACTTATTATATCTTATATCCAGTTGGTTAATGCTGAGTTCAAATATAGCAGAAGGGCAACAGAAGGAGATTAACCTCCAGCTTTTGCATACTGCATCCACATTTTTGCACTTTGTTTTCCAGGTTCAGTGAATCTGTTCATAGTGAGTGGCAACAGTATTGGTGATGTATTGGATGTGTGTTTCATAAGTTTGGGTTCATTTTGGATGTGTTGAGAGCTGGACTGAGAATTTGTTCAGCATTCCAGTCACAGGACCCAAACAATGGTCCATTGCGATTTCTCAAACAAAATAATGTCTTATCGCAAAACCTTTGGCACAGATTAACCAAAGTGACAGTCAGGATTGTGATTCTTTGAGCCCAGCTTCATAAACAAACTTTTTTTTTTTTTTTTCTTTTCTTGCACCTGGTATGTTCTGGCAACAATTTCTGTGAAGCCACAAAAACCAATCTCTATTTTTTTTCCTTCCTGCAGGAATGGCAGCCACCTTTTGCTTGTGATGTTGACAGACTAAAGTTCACGCCACGAATACAAAGACTTAATGAGTTGGAGGTATTTTTATTCTTTGCATTTAAGTACTGGACATGTATGAAAGTTGAGCATAAAACCATATTTTCTTGATTAATTAATCACTGTGTTCATTCTTCTCTTTCCCAGTGAGAAAGTAAGAGTGAGGCCATCTTAGTTTCTCTGTTTTCCCTGTTTTTGTTTTGGTATGCACGGCTTTATTCAGTGATTTATTTGTTTTTCCTCTAGGCTCAGACTAGAGTCAAACTCAACTTCCTGGATCAAATTGCAAAATTCTGGGAGCTCCAAGGATGCACTCTGAAAATTCCTCACGTTGAAAGAAAGATTTTAGACCTGTACCAACTCAATAAGGTGAGTTGGATGATGATAAATGTTAGTGCGAATGTACATGGCAGACATCACTGAATTATTTGACACTTTTGTTCAAATGTTTACCAATTGCCGTTGCATAAAAGCACTTCTTCTTCCAAAATGTCGCTTGCTTTTTGTTTAAGTTGGTAAATGAAGAGGGAGGCTTCGATGCGGTGTGCAGAGAGCGCCGTTGGACTAAGATATCAGTCAAGATGGGATTTGCTCCTGGCAAGGCCATCGGCTCTCATCTGCGGGCGCACTATGAGCGGATCCTCTACCCATATAACCTTTTCCAGATTGGATCCAATCTGCCTGTACGTCCCATCACCTGTTTTCTATTCGCTGCACCAGTCATCAGTCTTATTGCTTACAGCTGTGTAGAAGTTTATTAGACTACTCTATAAGCCCTTACAACTCATTTTTAAGCTCCATGCTGTGATGTTATGAAGTCAAAGTGGACTACTAAGCTGTTTTTTTTTTCTTTTCTTTTTGTAAAGTAAATGTAGTCATCTTTGATAGATGACTCTTGGATTGGTTCTAGTTTGCTTTTATTTAGAACTGAAAAGCTGCTGAAAAAGATGCAAAATGTTATAAAAATCAAAAACATCTTGTAACATTTATTATTTTTGATTCTTTCTCTTTTTCAGTTGTGTTTGACAGAATATCACCTTTTTTCTATTCTTGTCTTTATGGAGCAACACAAATGTAACGGGCTGATTTTATGTTTTTAATTGTCCAGGCTATCATTTCTGATAACCCGTAACATACAGCAGAGAAATGTTCTGCTCAATTTATGCGCTGCAAAGAAAACATGACCTGTTTTAAAGCCATCACTTTTTAAAACTTTGGTATATTTTAATACAGGCGACCAAGTGACATTATATTTTGACATCAAATTGTCCTATTGGTCCTTTAGAAGGCCACCTTGACCAACGACACTAAAGACAAAGAGTACACACCACACGACCTGCCCCAGCGCCAGTCTGTGCAGCCCCAGGAGACCTGCAGCATCGCTCGCCGGGCTAAACGAATGCGATCTGAAGTAAGCCTGTCGGATTTGTTCTCTTGTCAGTTCTGCTGCAACTTAAAAATATAAATTAGTTTTACTATTGTCGATTGATGCCAATAGTGCACAGCTGGTGAAAGTTTAAGCACCCAACATATTTGTAAATGAAGATTTTTATTGGCTCACTCACAGCGATCATCTTGGATTTTTCCAACCACCCTTTAGATCCGTCTGACTGACGGCGTCCTGCAATGGAGACTGTTAAAAAAAAAAAAAGTGATACTCCACCGAGATCTATCTGTGTTTGACTGAGGGTCTGGGAGGATTAATCGGGGGGAAATTATTTTTTTTAGTGTCATATGAATTATCCAAAGTCCTGAATCCATTTAATTCAGATTGTAGCTTCTTTTGACCACAGCATGAAATACTCATACCACAAACAAGATGGTGACCCAGTTTAAAAAGTAATTGACCTTTTCAGTGGTTTTGTTTGTGTCTCACTGGTCAAACTCACTCCGTTTCTGTCCGTTTCTTCTTTGATGGTTGCAGCGACTCTCTTTCAAAAAAGAACCTGGTGAAATTTGTGAGAATCGACCCAATCTGAGGAGGAGAATGGGAACCTATGTTGGCAAACCAGAACCTGGTAGGAGTAATAAATAAATGTTTGGTTCTGTTTTTAAGAGCCTCCTAAAGTGTCTGTTGGATATCCATCCTTGTCTTTCAGTGAGAATGGCAGTCACCGAAATAAAACAGGAGCCAACTGAACACATGGACCCAAAAGAACATGAAGAAACTGATTTAAATAAAATAAACAAACCTCCACAAAATAAAGTAAATGGTTTATGCTTTCAACTGAGGCAGAACTGTTTAGTCTTGTTTTTACTTTTCGAAGTTAAAAGTCCGTCTTCGTTTGTCTCTTCATAGGTGGACCAGTACATGTGCCTGATATGTGGTAGTGGGAGTGCAGAGGACCGCCTGTTGTTGTGTGATGGTTGCGACGACAGCTATCACATCTTTTGTCTTATCCCGCCCCTTCACGATGTCCCTAAAGGTGACTGGAGGTGCCCCAAGTGCCTGGCTCAGGTGAGCTGCTGATGTCTGCTCCTAACTGGGATTCTACAACCAAAGTCCTGAGAGGCCTGATTACTTTGAGCATCTGTTGTTGTGTTTTTGTGTGTCTTGCAGGAATGTGGTAAACCTCCTGTAGCATTTGGGTTTGAGCAAGCCAGCAGAAGCTACACCCTCCAAGCTTTTGGGGACATGGCTGACTCGTTCAAGTCTGATTACTTTAACATGCCAGTTCATGTAAGATTATATCCTGAACTTTGTGTTACTCTCTTCCCTAATATTGCTGTTTTAGTGGCTTTATTTGCAGTAATTATTTGGATGGTAATAATTTTGATTTTTAGTGGACAGGTAATTATACACATCATAAACATTAGATCAGTTAAACTGGTTTTAGTATGGGCCTGAAAAGATTCTTGATGGTTTCAGTTTTGGATCAGCTGTTAAGGGCAGCTTAGTAAATGAACACGTTGATGGATAAATCTCCAAAATTAATTAAGACCTCGTCTAAAAACTGCAGCTGGGATTCTGGTTACAAGCGACTTTTCTGTTTTTAAGATACTTTACATCATAGTTCATAAGTTGTATTTTTTTTTCTTCTTCTTTTCTTCATAAATTGAGTAAACAAGTGCACCGAGGTTGTTATAATACCAGCGACATGGATAAAATTACAAATTTTACCAGTAAATAAAAAATCACTGCAAAATCCAGAATATTGTCTAATTTCTGAATTGGTTTTAACGACTGCGGGGTTTCCCTGACGCTGATTACGGTGAACATCACATCATGCATGCTGCAGCTGCTTACTGTCTGATGCGACGTGCTCAGCAGACACTCAACAGACAGGAGCGTGAGAGAGATCGGTATTCAACAAAGGATTTAGTTTATGAACCAGAAGAGCAAGTCTTTCTCTTGGTCTTGTTCATGCATGGTGATTCAGATTAGCTAGAAAAACATGTTACACTGCTGACGGTGTTCATTAAGCCATTTGTGCCGATTCAATGATAATGAATAAATAATAAAGCATCATGTGCTTTGGTGAAGCGTTAAAACAAAACAGCAGTACTCTAAAACTCTTTGAGAAATCAGAGAATGTTCTACAAAAACTCATTTGGACACAAATTATGTTGTTTTCAAAGAAAAGGACTGAGTCAGCTTCCTGAAGAGTCAAGCTGGTCACTGATACTGTAAGCCATGTAGCTCATTCCAATTACAGCAGGAGTTTTAAGGCAGTTTGTACAAAGTGTTTAATTTTACAAAAAATGACTCCTTACTGGATGGAGCTAACAACTCATGTTGTCTTTGCATATTAGATATGCATGGCATATTGACGATTTTCCTCTTCTGCCTGTTCTCAATCTCACCAAGTGAAGCAGGGAAGGAAAACTGGTTTTGTTCAGGTTCCCATCATTTGGTATAAGGAGCACCTGAATGCAGCTCCTCTGTCGTATCAAAATGTGCTATTTTTTTCCCCCAAACAATGTATGGGGGAAATCATCAAATCACATTTGATGTGATTTTCTATTAAACTTCTTCATTTGTTACATTAATCTTTGCTAGAAACTTTTAAGTGATCAGAATATGTTTACTTATAAAACTTACAATTCAGAAAATGGGGAAAAAATATATATAATTAGGTAAAATAGTATGATTAAAAAAAACCCCAAAGATTTCATGTTTGCTACATGAAAATGTTCTGATTTCAAATAAGTTGTTGGACAAATACTTTATTTCCCACAAACCAATTTTATCGTTTCTGTTACTGATGATATGAGTAAATCTAAACAAAAGCACTGATGACATGCCTTAAAATAGTTTGCTGTGTGTGATTGGGGGCTTATACCTGTTATACACAGATTAGTGGTGAAGAGTCTGGTTCACACCTGAAAGAGGGCAGACAACAAAAGAAATGACACAATAGACTAATTCGTTTTTTTTAATCCATCTGATTCAGTTGTTTTGGTTCAGGAGGTATGCAGCAGTAATGCAACGAGTGTTTTCATTTTCAGATGGTTCCTACTGAGCTGGTGGAGAAGGAGTTTTGGCGACTTGTCAGCACTATTGAGGAAGATGTCACTGTGGAGTACGGAGCAGACATCGCCTCAAAGGAGTTTGGGAGTGGTTTTCCTGTGAGAAACAGCCATTTTGAAGTCTCTCCGGAGGACGAGGTATTGTTTGTCTCTTAGGATGCTACACTTCTCTATTGTTGGAACAAGGTGTTGTTTTCCTTTCTCATTAGTAAACATTCACAGTGAGCTGTTTTTGATTGGAAATGTAATTTCCACAAAACAAAACTGTTACTAACTTCTCCATAGCTGTAAAGAAAAAAGCTCAAAGTGAGATATTGATGCCATTTAGGAAGGAGTTATTTTCTTGGCTCGATCTGAGTGTTAGTGGAGGATGAGTGCTGTGTCTGACCCACAGCATTACCTGACCAGCGGCTGGAACCTGAACAACATGCCGGTGCTGGACGCCTCGGTGCTGACTCACATTACAGCCGACATCTGTGGGATGAAGGTTCCCTGGCTGTATGTGGGGATGTGCTTCTCTTCTTTCTGCTGGCACATCGAGGATCACTGGAGCTACTCCATAAACTACCTTCACTGGTGAGGAACCCTCTGCTGCCTTGTTATAATATTGTATTCACCCTACACAATTGGGAACAGCTTTTGTTTTGTGCCTGACTTTGCAGGTTTAGAAGCATCTATATGTATTTGATTCATCTTAGTTTGTTTTTAGCTTTGACCTGCTGATGCAGATTTTAAAAAATTATAATCTCTTTTAGAGAACTGTAATTTACAACATTCAAAATGTATCTCCCTAGATTCAGAAACTCTTTAAAGGATGCAACCCAGCAACTTTGGTGTACCACATTCAGCCTTTCTGCTACATTGTTAGTTTTTTTTTTTACCTAATTAAATCTGTAGCAGACAATATCTTTTGATAAATTAGTTATTGCTTCGCAACCTTTTTACTTTCTCTGGCTTCATTTTTCCACACCTCATCCTTGCTGAAAACGGATAACTTAATTTCTTTTCTGACCTGTCGGCTTAGCTGAAAAGAAGCCAGTTTTTCTGTGCATGCTCCATTTTCATAAAATGTTTCAACAATAAGTTAATTCATATAAAATGATCTGCTTTATAATTTTACATGCAATGAAAGTCTTTGTCTTTCTAATGAAGTTGTTTGTCTCATGTGCAGGGGTGAGCCAAAGACGTGGTATGGAGCTCCTGGTTATGCTGCGGAGCACCTGGAGTCCGTCATGAAGAAACTGGCTCCAGAGCTGTTTGAGTCTCAGCCTGACCTGCTCCATCAGCTGGTGACCATCATGAATCCCAACACGCTGATGAACAACGGCGTCCCGGTAATCTGCTCAGTTTTTACGCTCATTTAGTGCCACTCGATAAAGAACTCAAAATAAATTATTGATCATAATGATTATTTTTTTATTCACAATGTAGCGTGAAATGAATGTATACTTTTCTGGCAATGTGTAGATCTACCGCACCAACCAGTGTGCAGGCGAGTTCGTGATCACTTTCCCCAGAGCTTATCACAGCGGATTCAATCAGGGCTTCAACTTTGCTGAGGCCGTCAACTTCTGCACCATGGACTGGGTGAGGAGTCCTGCTTGTACAGCAGAAGATTCTATCTGCATGAGTCGACTTGTCTAATCCCTTTGAACCAGTTCTTGAGGAATAGGGTCTTTAATTCAACATAAATGTGATTTTTGTTCTTTAGGAGACATCTAGCATGAACAGATTTTTAAATTTTTTTATTTTTTTGTCAGAACACATTAAGTCTCATGGACTCACCTGGATTCGCTTTCATGTTTTCCGGCAGATGCCTATTGGCCGTAACTGCGTGGACCATTACCGTCAACTGAGCAGATACTGCGTCTTCTCCCACGACGAGATGGTTTGCAACATGGCCTTCAAAGCAGACACGATGGATGTGGAGCTGGCATCAGCACTGCTGGGGGACATGACCACCATGATCCAGGAGGAGAGGGAGCTACGAGAAAAGATTGACAAAATGGTGAGAAGCTATTTTAGTTGATTTACATCAAAGACGGGAGGATGAACAAAACTTAGTTTGAAGATGATGTTCAAACCAACTTGTGGATACACAAGTAGGAGACCTGCTTTGTATGCACAGATGCTGCATTTGGCTTCATTTTCTCCTCTGTGGCTCTGATGTGTGGATGTTTGTCTCCAGAGTGTGGTGCAGCGTCGACGAGTTGATTACGAGCTGCTCCCAGATGAGGCGCGGCAGTGCTGCAAGTGTCGGACCACCTGCTACTTGTCTGGCATCGTTTGCTCCTGCAGCCCTGACAAGATGGCTTGTTTGTACCACGCCCAACACCTTTGCTCCTGTCCCTATCGTAACCTCACACTCCAGTGAGTCTCCAGTAACCAAAACAACTGAAGAAAAGTCACCTGTGAATTTTACTGCCATGTTGTTGTTTTTTTTTATTTACATGAAACTTAAAAAAAATACATACATTTTATGTTGGGTAAAAGTAAATGAGTTCTTTTAAAATGCACTCCTAACATTTACAGAATTGTATTAAATAATGGCTCTGGAGACATTTGTTGCTTCAAAAATAATTACAACTTGTGTCATCTTTTCCAACAGTTTTAAGTTTACCCTCGACGAATTATATCCGCTGATGGAGTCGGTGAAGCTGCGGTCGGAGTCCTACAAAGAGTGGCTCTCTGCTGTTGAAGACATTGTGGAGAACAAAGGAGCCAAGAAAAAAGGTGCCACATAACCTTCATCAAACTCTGAGACGTTCAAACAGTTGGTTTTGCTCTTCCTGTTTCCTGAGACACAGTCCTGCTTTCTGCTCAGGTTTGGAGGAACTTCACAGCTTAGTGGAGCAAGCTGAAACCAAGGCTTTCCCTAAACTTAGCCTCCTGGATCAGCTGCGCACCGTCACCTCCGAAGCTGATAAAGTTGCTGTGATGGCACAGCAGCTTCTCAACGGGAAGAGGCAGACGAGGTACTAAAAATAAGCTTGAGGTGCGGCTGGACCCATCCAGCTGCATTCCTGTTAAACCATAAGGTAGCAAATATTCCGTTTTGTAGTCAATCAAAGTAGGTATGAATCAGGCTTATTTCACTAAAGTGGGCAGGGTTTTATTTGTTATAAAGTATGTGTTGGTAGTAGAGGTGTAGGAGTGCAAGTATTCATACCAGAAATATCCAGAACAGGAGGAGATATAGACATCAGGAACATGGGCTCGCATCCAGATGGCTGCCTGTTGCAGCCAATCAGATTAAAGTCTTTACTTCCTAGAAAACAAGTTGGAGGAATCCTAGTGATGAGAGGGGTTTTCCCAACAGCTGTGTGTGCTGCATTCAGGTACAGCTGGGTTATCACCAAATTTATGTTTTGTTTTTTTTATTTTGTTGGTTTTTTCAGAAATGGTCACAATCTTATTTTAAAATTTGCATAATCTATCTATCCAGGGATTGGCTCTACCTGCTTATACAAATTCAAAATAAAACCTTATTATTTTCTGAAATTACATATTTGTTGTTCACACCTAACCAAAGTTAAAGAAATATCGTTATATGACTGTTTGGTGGATTTTCATAGGCTGTATTTGCCAACCTGTTCAGATATTTAGAAATTAAACCAGCATTGGTTCTGTTCTGGCCTTTTAAAAGACCAATGCTGGTTTAGAATAACAACCTAAACTTTTTGCCACATAAGTCATAAGACTAATTTTCTTTAGTTTTTTTTTTTTTATTGAATGTTTTGCATTGTGTGTGTATCAGGTATCGTTCTGGAGGAGGAAAGTCCCAAAACCAGAACGAGTTGACTGTGGAAGAGCTGAGGTCCTTCGTCCAACAGTTGGACAACCTGCCATGCAACATCCGACAGGCTCCTTTACTGAAAGTAAATGTTTTAATCAATATTCACAGGAAATTTGTGTGTTAGTACCAACTCTTTTTTTTTTCCCCCAAATCCATTCTTCTTTGCTATTACAGATACAAAGAGGCTTATGTATTTCATTGCACTACAAAAACAAAGACTATGTGAAACGACCTAACTCTCGTTGTGACCTCCAGGACCTGCTGACCCGGGTGGATGACTTCCAGCAGCGCAGCAACCGTCTGCTGTCTGACGAGGCGCCCAGCCCTCAGGAGCTGCAGGAGCTTCTGGACGTGAGTCTGGGCCTGGACGTGGAGCTGCCGCAGCTGCCGCTGCTAAGGGAGCGGCTGGAGCAGGCGCGCTGGCTGGAGGCGGTCCAGCAAGCCAGCAGCCGACCCGACAGCCTGTGTCTGGACACCATGAGGAGGCTGATAGACCAGGGAGTGGGCCTGGCCCCCCACAGCTCTGTGGAGAGAGCCATGGCTCGCCTGCAGGAACTGCTGACCGTGTCGGAGCAGTGGGAAGAGCGGGTGCTCGGCCTCATGGACGCCAGGTAGGAACATTTCATTGTCAGGGTGCTTGAAATCCTTCAATTCTTGAATTTCACTTGGGTGATTTTCAGGGTTTTGAAAATGCTAGACTTCGCTATAAAGTCCTTCAAGGTGCTTAATATTCTATCTGCACAGCTTTGCAATAAAGTTGTAATAAACCTTTAGGAAAATGGAGTCTTTACAGGAAGTCAATTTATTTATTATTTGTGTTGTGCGAAAGCATTTTGTTTGAGCTGGATGGTCATTTACCTTAACACTAACCAACTTTAATGAAATGAATATTTATTGTACCTCTTGACTCAGTCTTTGAATTGGGGGGTTTGTTTTTGGGGTTTTTTGTTTGTGTGTTTTTTTGGGGGGGTATTTTTGTTCTCAGATCAGTCAGATGCATAGGGTGTGTGTGTGAGACTTTTCAAAATATTAATTGTCCTTTTCCCTGCTCCAGAATCACAAGCTATTAATCACTGTAATAAAGACCATATAACCGTGAATTGAAACTATTTTTTTAGTTAATTTGTACAGTTTTTCTTTCCAAAGCATGGTGCTGAAAAAGCTGTACAATGTACCTTGCAAATGCTTGAAAAGATCCTGAATTTCAATGTGTGAAAAGTGTACAAATCCTGTATTTTGTTGTTTTTAATTTAGTTTAAGGTCTCTATCTGCTTCAAATAAGCAGATTTACGGGACACAAACGCCTCATCTGGTGTCAATGTGGCACAGAATCACAAGGGAATGCAATATTATAACTCTCAGCCAACGACGGTCTCCTTTCTCTTCGTAGGCCGTATCCCAGCATCGAGACGCTTGATGCCGCTTTACAGGAAGTGGAGAACATCCCTGCTTATCTGCCCAACTGTCTGCAGCTGAAGGATGTTGTTACTAAAGCCAAGAAGTGGCTTAACGAAGCAGAAATGCTCCAGGTAAAACACTATTTTATCATTTATCAAACGGGTGAGATTTATTTTTATTTTTTTGTAAATAAAAATGTTTTTCTTGTTTTGAGATGGGGGGACGGATCCCCGTGCTGGACAGCCTCTCTGAGCTGGTTCTCAGAGCGGACAGCATCCCGGTGAGGCTCGACCTGCTGGGCCGACTGGAGGCTCTGATCAGCGACGTGCAGAGCTGGAAGGAGAGCGCAGCGAAAACATTCCTACTGAAAAACTCCCCCCTGTCGCTCCTCGAGGTTAAGAGATTTTGGAGTGCGATTCTGTACAAACCTGCTTCCCACTTGTAGTTAGAAATGATTAAAACGTCTTTTATTGTGTTTTCAGGTCCTCTGCCCGAGATGTGACGTCGGTTCTGGGCATCAGAAGTGCAGATCTAAAAAAGTAAAAGAAGCTCTGCAGCTCAATAAAAAAGCTTCCCTAAAACTGGAGTCGGTGTGTGATGTGGAGAGAGCTCTGTCTGAGAGCAAAGACTCTCCGTCTGCTGTGAGTACAACAAACAAGCGTTCAGCCATGGCTGCAGCGATTAATCGATTATTGATAATCAACTAATTCCTTGACCGATTAAGCATTAACTGGAGCATACGGGCTCAAAGAAATGCCATTTGCTGAAAGAGCAGCACACTTGTCTTAATTAAGACAAAACTGTACAAAAAATATACATTTTACATCGAAAAGTTAAAACAAAAACCTCTGTCTGTAAATGTGTTCTACCCAGAACTCCTCGAATGGCATAGTTATACATCCACACTGTTAAAAAAATTATCTTAAGCAACTTTTGCTTTCCAATTATTAATCAGTTATTTTAAAAATGATTAACAGATCAGTCCTACACTATATTGATAAATAGAAAAGGCATAACTTTTCACATGCTGACATTGGAAGAATTTTTAGCTGCACTAAAAGAATGACATGCAATTGCATTTTACGCAATAAAATGTCTCTGGTTTAAAATCCAAACTGAATTATGAGTCATTTAATGCATTTCTAATCTTGTATTCTCCAATTAATTGAAGCAGAATAATTGATTTAATAAAATAGTTGTGAGATGCAGCCCTTCATTCACCGCTTCACAATCGTTTTATTCACTGGAAACACAACTGATTGCAATGAAACAGTGACTCAATTATAGATTAAAAACAATATAGATGTCATGTAAAAATAAATAATAAAATAATTTTACTCCCTGAAGGGAAATGTGGCTGAAGTGCATTTTGACCTGCAATAACTCCAGTTGTAAATGAGCCAGCTGCTCGTTGGCAGAGTTGGTTTGAATTTCTCCTCATCTGATCTTCTCTCCACAGATGAGCGCTCTGGCTGACGTGCGGCAGAGGGAGATGGAGCTGCTGCTGGCGCTCAGAGCCTCCAACGAGTCCAAACTTCTGCCTGCCGACAACTCCTCTGCACTTACTGTCTGCCTTTGCCAAAAGGCCCCTTCAGGCGCCATGGTTCAGTGCGAGCTGTGCCGAGACATTTTTCACCGCGACTGCGTCACCACGGCAGCAGAGCTGGAGTACGGCCAGGCCTGGCTCTGCCCGCTGTGCCAGCGGTCGAGGAAGCCTCCTCTGGACAAGGTCCTGCCGCTGCTGGCCTCGCTGCAGAGGATCCGGGTTCGGCTGCCGGAGGGAGACGCGCTCCGCTTCCTCATCGAACGAACGGTGAGGTGGCAGCACAAAGTCCAACAGGCCTGCACCGACGGGCTGCTGGAGAGAGTGGCAACCACGGTGAGTTTAACATCTTTCAAAAGTATTCAAACCTCTTGAACGGTTTTTTTTTTATCTCTCCCATGTTAAACCCAGAAGCTTTATTGGATTTTATTGGGATTTTAATGACAGAGCAGCACAAAGCAGTGTTTAATTTTAAAAATAAAACGTGTAGCGCATTCATTTGTTGACGGACAGATGGAGAGAGCAAAACACAAACTGATCCTGAACGAAAGCCCGTCTGAGGCTGCAAGAGCCCAGAGAGTTTGACAGTTAAAGTCCAGATCTAAATCCAACTGAGAATCTATGCCTAGGCTAAATTTATTTTCACAGGAGAATAATGGGGGGGGAAATGTCACCACAGAAATAATAGAAACATTCTGGAATGAATCCAGAATGACACCAAACTTTTCAGATCTTTATAATGAGTTTTGAAAACCGTGTTATTTTTTTTCTTGGATTTTAAAGTTATGAGTCAAAACCCTAAAAATGATCAAAAGATAAAAAGTTCAAGACGGTGAATTTCTGTTGAAGCCGGTCAGGAGATCTGTTTGTCTAACGCTGCAAATACGTTATGTTTCAGGGGAAACTCGGACCTAAAACATCTTCATATTTGACTCAGGAAATAAATGGTTCATTTCACACAAAGCATCTCTCCATCCCACTCCAAGGTTTGTGTTGTTAGCAGTTCTCTGGAGAATGTGTTTTTTTTTAATCATTATTTTCAGTTTATTTTTAATAGTAATGGTGATGCATTTGTTGCAGCACTTGGTCCTGAGCTGGAAGAGCTGATGGTGGAGGGTTTCCTGCTGCAGGTCACCCTGCCTGAGACCGAACAGCTGTACAGATATCTGCTCTACAAACTGGCCCCACCGTCCTCGCACAACTCCCCCAGTAGGAACGGGGCAGAGCAGTCCGACGAGGGGAGCCCCCGACACAACAAGGTATAAATCGACCTCTGGGTTCGCTGGGGTCACTCTAAAAAAAAAAAACGAAACAAAAAAAAAATCATGTTCATGACTCGGTGAAAAGCCAAGCTCAAATAGGTTTTGAAAGCGTTTCTTCAATGTCTGTAGAACGGAGGCTCCAGTCTGAAGAAGGAAGTGAATGGACAAAGCAAAAGGACTAAACGGCGGAAGGATAGTTCAGACTCTCAGCATAGCGAGAAGGCCAAAAAGTCTCGCAAGAAGAAGCCGAAGAAGAGCAAAGAAAGGGGCGAAGAGTCAAAGAGGACAAGCTCCCCCTCACACACCTCGTCAGATCCGGCTCTTTCTGATTCAGAGGAGGACTTCTCGCTGTGCGCTGCACCGTGGTGCAGAGAGCCTGAGGGCGACGAGGTCGGTTTTAATCATCAAATCCACCTCATTCTTTCACTTCCATCTTTTTAGTCCCCTTCATCCTGGTATCATTGTCATTTCAGGTGAACTGGGTCCAGTGTGACGGTAACTGTAATCAGTGGTTCCACCAGGTTTGTGTGGGACTGTCTGCTGAGCGCGCTGAGAAAGAGGACTATATTTGCATAAGCTGCACACAGCCTGATTACGACCGAGGCGAGTGAAGACCAAACCGTGATGTTGAAGGACGAGAAGTTGTTTTTACATCAGCCGCAGCACCGAAGCGCACACGTGAACTCTGTGTCTGCTGTGGCTTCTCCTTTTTACCTTCTGGCTTGCCCTCAGTGAACATGGTGCTATCTCCTCCTCCCCCCCAGAGTTACTAAAGACTTCTGTCACTGTTTTTGTCACTCGGCTGGTTTTTCAGCTAATCAACTAATCCTTTACGAAACTTTCCAAGACTGGACGCGGATGTGGTTTCAGAAAAACCCAACGGCGCAGGGATTTCTTCTTTTTTTTTTTTTCCCAACCAAAAAATGTCACTTTGACATTTCATAACTGTTTTTCTTTGACCTACATCTGAACAATGTGAAGCTTATCTTTTCCTTGTAGAGTAAATATTATTTATCTGAGCAATAGCTGAACAGATTCAGGTTCAGTTTTCACCTGAGCTATATTTGTGTGTAGAAAAACTTTGATAAGATGCCTTCCTGATGCAAAAACCCTGAAGAACTCACCTCACAAATCCCCAAAATGTCTCTCAGTACAATAGATATTTGTGCACCTCTCACTAGAAACGACTCTTTATCTCCTACCAGTGCAGATGGTTGCACCTGATCGTTTGCCCGTATCCCTTAATAATTCACTGGCTTAGACGTGAAGTTGGGTTTCCTTTTTGCGCCGTCTGCTGGGGGAAGATGAAAGTCCTGGGAAAGACTCGATGATGTTCACAAGGTGAGAACGAACGGCCCGACGTTAAAGGAATGTACATTTAGCTTTTTTGGGTGAGTTTTCTCTTCATGGTTGAGGTTGAAAATATTGTGTTGGACTTAGATTTAACACAGACTGTGTGATTTATTCGCCACGGGTATATGACCTTTTTCTTGCTCCTTTGGATAAATAATATAATTCATATGTTGCAGTTTGCATTATTAAATAAAATGTTTGTTCCCATGTGGGCTCTTTGTTTCTCTCTAAACATGTAAAACGACTTTTTACTCTTATCCCCGACGGTTTTGCTGTGTGGCAGAAACGGGAAACGTATTCAGGAAACATCATCAGGTTGCTACTTGAAAGCACAAAGTTACCTATAAAGGACCATGTATTAAATATATAATCCACTATTGTGTAGCTGAGTGATTAAAAATAGAATTTCTTCAAGGTTTCAGTGATATTTTCTTGAGTGATTTCTGGCCTTCCTGAAAACAATTGAAACTAACTTGACCTTAAAATTAGGTTAATTTTCACAACAGCTGATCTGCAAACCAGTCTGTGTTAAACAACGCATCCATGATGTGCTGCTGAAAAAGGGAATCAATTGTGTAAGCTTTAGAAATAAATTCAGAATTAAGAATCCAGATATTTTTTTATACTATTCCAATTTTTATTTTAATTAATTTTTAAAGTATGTCCAATTTTAACACTCATGTTTAGGAAACTGGCACTTTTGGCTGATCAGGAAAGTATGTTTTACTTTAAGAGATTTTTTTTAAGAAAGTGTTTACACATTTTCTATGAAGTTTTTTATGGTTACACAGTACATTACTCCACATGATAAGCGTATATTTGATTAAATTTCCATGTTCTGTACAGTTAGGTAAACTTCATTTATTGAGACCCAAACTTCTGTAACGAGACTTTTGAAAAAGCAGTTTATTTTGATTCACTGTGGAAATAAATGCAGAGAGATAATTAACTAAAGCACACAATTGTGGGATCCTTTACAATCAATTAGATTTTTTTTCATTTTAACTCTTTTTTTTTCAGAAACCAAATCCATTGTGACTAACAAGGACATGCTGCAAATCAAAAGTAGATGCAAACAAGCCATTAGATTTACAAAGTAACACAGCATTTAACTTTTTTACAGTATCAATATATTGAGCAATAATTGCAACTAAAGCATTAAAAAAAACTTTTTATGATCAGGAACATCCAATGCATGAACTTGTTTATATGGTGCATCAATTTGACATGACAGAACTGTTTCTTTCCACCATTGCCTACTAAACTGAAGGAGGATCAATTTGGAACATTTCATCAGGCATGTTGGGAAAGGAAAACATTTCTCTCCCACCATGACAAATATTTAACTTAACTGGAACCACATACTTTGGCGAGATCAAGCTTAGATTTCACTATTTGGCAACAAACATTCCAGCCTGGACTTGTATAAAACAAAGGATGAAGATGTGGGGAAAATCACCTCATCCCTCTTGGTTCATGTGGTGACAGGTCAGAGGTCACAGGCCCATTTCTCTTACCTGGACATTTTGAATGAACACTAATCAAGACGGGTCATGGTAGTGACTGTAAACCATCTTAGAAAAAAATCTGAAAAGTGATTGAAAGAGAAGAGACATAAAGAGTTTGTAAAGGGAAATGAACAAATGGAACAGGGTCCTGATGAGAGGATAGTGCAAATTGAACATCTGGATACATTTTTTTTTTAATCAGTTATTTCTTTTAACATGGGATTTTCTTCCCAGGAATAAATGTGCTGAAAGTTTTCTAAATTCCTCAATTCCTAACTAATACAGTAAGATTTATTAAAATATTTCAGATTGCCAACATGTTTAAAACTTCTTTCTTTTTTTTTTTTTTTTTTTTTTAGGAATTTAAGGTAATAAAGGTTAAAATAAAGGTGTGTAACCCCAAGAACAACCAAGTATCAAGTTACAACATTAACTTGAGCCTGTCAGTCTGTACTCGGGGAAAAGGCTCAATCCGCGTCTGTCGTCACCATGTCGCCATCTTCCTCCAGTTGTTGTTAGCTTGCTTGCTAAGGAGTCTATATTTATCACCAGCATTTACCAATCGCAGCCGGGTCAGTGTCGGTTGGCGCAGCGTCTCCTTTTCTTCCCGTCGCCATGGACGATGAGTATTACGGAGGGGCAGGAGACTGGGAGAGCTCGGAGGGGCCGCTGGTGAGAGCGGGACTGTTCAGCGTTTGTGACCGTTAGTTAGCATTAGCTCGGTTAGCAGGCTAACTGAACAGCTTTATCCCGGTTTACTCCTCAGACATTACATCAAAACTAGTTGTATGCAGCTTAAGGGTTTAATAAATGTAAAATTATGATAATGCAGAGCATTTACATTCGCTGAAACAGTTGCTTCAATTTGTAATTGACACAAAGAAATGGCATTTTTATTTAGTAACTGCCTCAACGTTTCATCCCACATTCAGTATCAGTTGTGCATACTCTGATCAAAGCCTACAGTGTTAAACTTGTATACATTTGCGTCTTGCACCTTGTCATTAGTGTGCAAAGCCATCACGTTAATGGATAGAAAGGAAGCGAGGTGTGTCGAGTCAACTCTCCAGGCTTTTAGCTCCTTTTAGAGGCGTGTTGTTGAATCTTTCAGGAGGATGGGTACGATGAGGAAAATGATGGGAAAGTTCAGGAGGACTGTCTGCTGAAATTCTCCAGCAGGGACTACATCATGGAGCCTGCGATTTTCAACACCCTCAAAAGGTGACACAAGTTTAACTTCATTCAAGTCCTCACACAATAATAATCATCAGCTGTTCTCATAAAAACTTCAACTCTGCTCACTTGGAAATACATATTTCCAAGTGAGTCAAAATGCATTAGCCTGCGCTTCACATAGTAAAAATGTACATCACTACTTTTCTTTAAATTTAAAGGCTTACTGTACAATTGCATGAAGTTGTAATATAACTGTAGTGAGATTTTTTTGTTTGTTTTTGACCCAATAATTTGGACACAAATACTAATACAGATAAAACCTTGACGGACACAAAACCCTGAGCACCTGCACTTTCACACAGCTGCTATTATTTATTATATGGCAAAGTAATCGTGTGTGTTTGATTTGGCAATAACTTATTGTTGTAAATATTTAAACTGGCCAGAAGGGGGCGTCATTTATCTATGCTTGCCACATTTAATGAACTGTTTAATTTTACACACAGTGATGGGAGAAAACATTTTCCTCTCAGCAGATTAGACAGATTTTTAACTTTTTCTCACAGTTAAATGTGTTAAAGTAGCTTGAGGAAGTAAAAAAAAAATGTTTTCAAATGAAAAGAGAAAACCTATTCAAAGAAATCTAGCCTTTTCTGAAGATGTAATTGCATTTCTTGGGATATAACTAGTTCTGTTGCCCATATGAAAAGCAACACCAATTACTAGGGTTAGTGTGCTAGTAACTTTTCACATAACACCAGGTTGTTTTGGAAAACTGTTTTCCTCTAATAGGTGAAATCTCTTTTTATTCACTCTGGTTATTTTTGTCTGATGTTGCTATTAGTTTGCTCTGCAACATTTAGATGTGATTAAAACAGAAAAAGCATATGAAGTATTAAAAGCCCTGCTGCTGTTGCAGATATTTCCAAGCAGGCGGCTCTCCAGAACACGTCATCCAGCTTCTCTCTGAGAACTACTCTGCTGTTGCACAGACTGTAAATCTGCTGGCAGAGTGGCTCATTCAGATGGGTGAGTAAAGAAATACAGGAAGACTAGCAAGGAAACGCCTCATCATCTGTTTATATTGTGGAGCGTATCGGTGCTTAGCTGTACGCTGTTTCGTTGGGCTACAGGTGTAGAACCGGCTCAGGTCCAAGAGCGAGTAGAAAATCACCTCAAGAGTCTCCTCATAAAGCACTTTGACCCCCAGAAAGCCGACTCCATCTTCACGGTTGAGGGAGAGGTGGGTGTTATGATTCATTACATTTCAGTCATTGCAATCATTGAGATCATTATCTTATGTCAGCTTATAGTATTTAAAATGAACCTCGTTTGCTGTCTGCAAAATAATATATTTAACCAGAAGGATGGATACTTCAATAAAAATTGTCCAAAAGCTCACAGAAAGTTTTAATAATTTTATAATGAGGGAACATTATGCTCTGCAGTTGCCTCACTTCCTCATCATAATGCCTCACATATTGCATATTCTCCCAGTATCTCAATGCAATCGCACGTGCAAACTAGTCCAGATTTATACCGTCTGATTTGTTTTTAGACTCCAGCTTGGCTCGAGCAGATGATAGCACACACAACATGGAGGGATCTCTTCTACAAGCTGGCAGAGGCTCACCCCGACTGCCTGATGCTCAACTTCACTGTAAAGGTACAGTTATATAGTTTCTACTTTGATTTGGTCTAAAATTATTAACATCAGATGAACCACTGCTGCACTCAGTGTTAGTTAATTCCAGTTTATCCATGATGTGTAGGTTGGTGGCTGAAGAAGCATCTTCATATCTTGTGTTTTCTTTGTTTCTTGTTCAGCTCATTTCTGATGCAGGCTATCAGGGAGAGATCACCAGTGTTTCCACGGCGTGTCAGCAGCTGGAGGTTTTCTCCCGGGTGCTGAGGACGTCTTTAGCCACGCTGCTGGACGGAGGAGAAGAAAACCTGGAGAAGAACCTGCCAGAGTTTGCTGTGAGCCTTTCTTGTGTTCCTGTTTTATTTATGGGTGAAGGTAATGTTGATATTTCTAAAAAATAATAATAACATAAATACTAGAAGCACAGTTCCTCTGATCAGCAAACAGATTAAACTTTTGAACTCGACTGTCGGGACAAATTTAAGGAAGTCGGATTTTGTTTTCAGCCAATCAGCATCTCCTGAATATCACACAAAACGGCTTGTCCGAAGCATTTATGGCTTCAGAAATATTTCTAATCGAAGAAGGTTTGTGTCTAAACAAGAACTTCAGATAGTTTTATTTTTTTGTCTTTTCATGTTTTATTTCTGATGTCATCTTTGACAAACATGTTTATCACATGAATTTTATCTCTAGAAAGAGTTGTAAATGAAATGGATCATTTTTTGGGGTTGAAATAAATTGTATCCAATTGAGAAGAACACAATCTTTGAAGAGCTTTTAGCTGACAATATATGAACTACACAGTAGATTATTAACTGAAGAACGATGCATCTCTCGTGTTCATTTTCTATGCTGAAAAGTTCAAAGAAAACTAC